TTCATATTATGAATGTATGCACCTTGTACTTAACTAAAATTCATTTTTTCTAATCCCTATATCTTTGCAAGTTATATATATATATATATATATATGATATATATATATCATTCAAGTAATTGAAATTCATAGTTTAAAATACCTCATACATTGCAAAGATCTAGGGATTAGAAAATAAGAGTTTGTGGCAAAGACTCAGTTATTTTGCAAGAAAATTTGTTCCTGGCATAAAATGCTGTGAAAGTAATTTTTGACACATGACATTGATCATTACACCATTTGGATATATGTTAACGCCCAGTCGAGCGCGCATTGATCACTAACTTATATAAAAATTAATTCTAAGTAATTCATATAGTAAAACATTGAGTGCAGTTTTAACTCCGACCGTGCATTTTCATGAATTTAAATCAACTCTCTCACGCCTAACCACCATCCAACACCACCAACCTACATATCACAACCTACCTCTAGCATATTTAAGATAAAGTTAATCTCTTTACCACGCCTAACCACCATCCAACACCACCAACCTACATAGCACAAACTACCTCTAACATATTCAAGATATAGTTAATCTCTTTACCACGCCTAACTACCATCCAACACCACCAACCTACATAGCACAACCTACCTCTAACATATTTAAGATAAAGTTAATACAATTTTTCCACAGAAAAACCTTAGGTCAGAAAAAGGGTCAGAAAACCCTAAAAAGATAAGTTTCCTATAAGTCGGATGAACAGTCACATATATATGTATTCATAAACACTTCTTAGAACAGAAATTAGAAAAACTCAAATTCAAATTGGATATAACTTTTTTTTCAAAAGTTCATAATCCTTTTAGTTTTCTAAAATCAAAAATATTTTTTTTCCGAACAAATTGTTCGTTTTTATTAACGATACCCAACCCTAAACAAACCTTGGGTCATTCCTTATTTCTTCTCAGAGTGCAGCTTGAATTCTCTCTCTCCAGGTACCGGTAGCAACATTGTATGAGAACTACAGTTTAGTTCTAGTATAGGAGTCAGGAGAAACCAAGGGGACCGTCAGTTCTCTCGGTAGTAAAGGAGATCCAAAGAAAGACGGAGGAATCAACGGTTTCGAGTTTAGAGCTTTATATGGATACCGGAGAATCCAGGGAGAAGAGAAATCAAAGAGAAGAATGAGTAGGAAACCCCTAGAGAAAAAAGAAAAGAGAAACCAATACGAAATTAGAGAAGAGAACCATAGAGAAGAAAGAGAAGAGAACCATAGACATGAAATAGAAGAAACATCATAGAGAATAAAGAAAAGAGAACCATAGAGATGAAATAGAAGAGAACCCATAGAGAATAAAGAGAAGAGAACCATAGAGAAGAAAGAGAAGAGAACCATAGAAAATAAAGAGAAGAGAACCATAGAGAAGAAAGAGAAGATTACCATAGAGAAGAAAGAGAAGAGGACCATATGGAATAAAGAGAAGAGAAACATAGAGAATAAAGAGAAGAGAACCCTTAGAGAATAAAGAGAAGAGACCCATAGAGAATAAAGAGAAGAGAACCATAGAGAAGAAAGAGAAGATTACCATAGAGAAGAAAGAGAAGAGGACCATACGGAATAAAGAGAAGAGAAACATAGAGAATAAAGAGAAGATAACCCATAGAAATAAATAGAAGAGAACCCATAGAGAATAAAGAGAAGAGAACCATAGAGAATAAAGAGAAGAGAACCATAGAGATAAGAGAGAACCCATAGTGAATAACAAGAAAAGAACCCATAGAAAATAGAGAGAAGAGAACCCATAGAGAATAAAGAGAAAAGACCCATAGAGAAGAAAGAGAAGATTACCATAGAGAAGAAAGAGAAGATTACCATAGAGAAGAAAGAGAAGAGAAACATAGAGATAAAAGATAAGAGAACCCATAGAAATAAAGAGAAGAGAACCCATATAGAAAAAAGAGAAGAGAACCATAAAGAATAAAGAGAAGAGAACCATAGAGAATAAAGAGAAGAGAACCCATAGAGAAGAAAGAGAAGATAACCATAGAGAAGAAAGAGAAGAGAACCCATAGAAATAAAGAGAAAAGAACCATAGAGAAGAGAGAGAAGAGAACCCACAGAAAAAAAGAGAAGAAGAACCATAGAGATAAAAGAGAAGAGGCATCATAGAGAATAAAGAGAAGAGAACTATAGAGAAGAAAGAAAAGAGGCATCATACAGAATAAAGAGAAGAGAACTATAGAGAAGAAAGAGAAGAGAACCATAGAGAATGAAGAGAAGAAAACCAAAGAGAAGAAAGAGAGGCACCATAGAGAAGAAAGAAAAGAGAAACCAAAAGTTAAATAGAGAAGAGACTCAAAGAGAAGAAAAAGAAGAGAACCCAAAGAGAAGAAATATAAGAAAAATCATAGAAACGATGGAGAAGACAACCCATAGAGAAAAATTAGAAGAGAAATCATACGGAAGAAAGAGTTGAGAGAGCATAGATCGAAGAAAGAATCCGTCAGGGGGGTGCAAAGGTCCTGCCCCCCCCTCTTGTATTCGCCCCTGGCTGAACCAATAGAGAAGTGAAGGTAACATATCCCCACGCTTTTTAAAGAACTATTGGTCTGAGACATTTTTAACTTCGTTTAAAAATTATTCCTGCTACTATATCCTTTCCTCTCTGTCCTTCCTTAACATATCTGGGGTTTGCCATGATAAACTATAGGGTTACCTGGTTACACGACAGCATAGCTTTAACATTCGAACTCAATTTTACTCGTTAAATAAAGATTTTTCGTATTTGCTATTTTAAACTTTTTTGGAAAACATTTTTGAAATATTAAACTTGGTAAATAAAGTCGTGAACACTATTTAAAATTAGGATAAAAATATGTGGATAACGGCAAGATGTAGTTTTACATGCAGAAGAGAAGATCTACTTACTTTAACTTGGATTATTAAATCAAATTTGTTTCTAATGAAATGTCCAACGAGGGGGGGGGCAAGCCGCACCCGGAAAGCCTCCATCCCGCAATTTACTCACTAACATATATCCTACAACAAAATGTCTTTACTTTTAAATGCTTATCATAGAGATATACCCGGGTAGAATCTAAGAGTCTGAAACCTAGTCTTAGACGCCGGGCCGACCTCCTCAGACCCTCTGTTTTTGGAAAAAAATATCAAATTTCACCAAATATATGTAATATGAGAAAAAACCATTAAAATATTTGAGCATTCCTCTCCTCGAGATAATGGCCCCCTGCCGTGACAGAAACCCGACACCCATCCGTTTTGAGGAGAGACGGATTCAGGGTCTTTTCGGTCTAAAAACGACTCTCTTATTAGTACTAAAATAGAGTCGGGCCGGCGCCCGTTTTTGTGGTCGTGCGGGTCGTTTTCAGACTCTAAAACAGCGTCGCTTGTTCTATGCGGGTACAGCGTTAATTTAAGATTTCAAAGACGTCATGACTCATGGCATCTAATTATAACTTAAACATATTCAAAATATAATTTCTTTGTAATGTAAGTAAACATTCTTGCTCATTGGGGCAAAAGTCGTTAAATTTTTGTTCAAAACTGTGATTTATTGCGATTTCTTTCTAAAATATAATATTTTGTAAACAAGTCTGCTCATTTTGATCTTCTCTAAAAATATTTTGAAAGGTAAGGAGAAATTCAACATTTACCAAAAATAACGCAGTTTTACGTGCGGTTTTACGCGAATTTAACTTCAGTTAGATAGATAGATTTAGATAATTTTCAACTGAATTGCGCCCAAAACTGTGTTTTTCTTGTAAAATTTGAATTTCTGTCTTCCTCAAAAACATTTTTAGAGAAGAATAACATCATCAGCCAACATGTACAAAATATCATATTTTAAGAGAAATTCGCAGGACATTTTGCCACGGGATATAAGGGTGCGGCTAGGAAGCGCTACGGGTGAGCGCGTTGCCGCAACTCTGTGTTTGTGAATAAATTGCTGGATTTAGGCTATACAAGTGATGCTTGCCTTCCCCTCCCCTCGTCCAACTTAGTCTTTACACTGATATGAAGACATTTTCTAATGAAAAAGTTTCAGCACTAACTTAAAAATTAACTTATTTAGTGAAATGAGTCAGTTTGCACTGTACAATTGCCGTGTCTCATGTGGACACTTGGTCTATTTAAAGTCATAAATTGAGTCTTAAAGTCGTCTACCTATTCCAAAGTTTTCTGGTTCTCACTGTACTTGATAGCTATAGCCCTCATTCTTTAACTCATCATTCATTAATTTGGTTCTTTCAATTAACACTCAAACAAAATGTTGTCATTAAAAAAGGTTATGAATGATCATGAAATTTGGCTTTGGAATGCCATATTTAAAATGCTCATTCATTTCTTTGAACTAAGTTTTTTAACAGAATTCCTGGGCTGACCTGCACGGAAATGTATCGATTTTTTCCATGTCCATTATGAAAAATATTCAGATATGACTTTTTTCATTAAACAGGAAGTTACCGGAACCCTGTTTCAGACGTCCGGATTATTGTACCAGAATTTTCTGGAACGCCTTTTCCGTAAAAAATTCATAATGTTCAGGAAGGACATCCGAAATATCTTAAACGTATGTAGAAGATAAAGCTAGTATAAGTAATACTAATTACATAATAGAATGCGCGCCTGATTCAGCTGATTGAATTGCTATATTATTACAAAATATAAATTCAGGCTGTCATGTAATAATAATATTCATGTTTCTAAAGAATTTCATTTATACAATATCTTAGAAGTTTGATTTGAACCCATACAGAGTTGAAAACTTTAGAATCAAATATCCTTAATCCCGATTGGTTAATTAATCTGGAGATTAATAACAGGAGGAGAACAAGCAATATTTAATCTGAAGATTTAGAAAAAGAGGAGATCAAGCATTGGTCTCGATATCCACCATTCTAAAGTTTTCAGCTCAGTCTATATTTTATAATTTTACTTTGTGGTTTAAAAAAGAAAAATTTAATGTTTTAGGTCGAAGTGAAGTTGAAAATAAAATAACATATCAATAATGTATTAGACATCTTTACACTTAACAATATTGCACAAAAAAGAGCAAGAACGAAATATTTACTTATTAATCATATTTCTTTCTGGGGCTAAAGGATAAAAGAAAGTGTGCACTGTATCCGACCCGGCTGGACCGGTCACTGTACATGTGTACTGTCCCATGTCGGAGAATCTTGTTTCGCGGATTACAAGATCCCCGTTTTCCAGTAGCGAATAGCGGACATCGTTTCCTGCTCCAGGGTTCCCACCATCAGCATTGCTCCAAGTAAACTTGTAATCAGATGCGTCATTCTAAAGAAAATTCATGAAACATATAGACTTTAATTAACATTACATCATTTAAGTGACTCCTTTAAGTCCTCTATGGTGCATTTTTTATAAGAAGAACGTGAATTGTTAGTATGTTAGCACTCTCGGAACGAACAGGAGACTCAGCAAGTGTGCAGTGTAAACAGACCCATTTGACGTAAAATGGGATTTAATGAGTTGCTACATATATGTAATTACTATTTGCCTTGTATACACATAGTATACGCTTAAGTAAATTGCTAATATGTCGTATTCCTATTTTACAATTTTCTGGTTCTCACTGTATAAAGATAAAGAACCATTTTTTAACTTATGTCATTAGTTATTGTATTACGTTTCCTATTTTACAGAGAGTCATGTCTGATTCACAATGGCACTCTTCAATCCTTTATCTGCACAGGATACTGTGCAGAAACAGTGATAAATTCTAAAATATGTCTACCATTGTTTGTGTTGCGCATAGCTGCGTAAAGTAACTGTTAAAGAGAAACCTCAATCTAAAATTACCAATTTTAGGCAGCAAATATTATCTTTAATTTTGATCAGATAAAGGTTTAAAGGATGTTGTGAATATGCCACTCTACTAACAGATGGTCTCTTTACGCTCTAAGTCTCTTAAAAGTAAATAGACTTACTTGAACCCTGCAGGGTAGTACTGCTGTATCTCCCTCCTCGGCCATGTAGGTTCTTCTCCACATGGAGATCTGAGGTAGTCCGGACTCAGAGCAGTGTCCGGCCTTGGGGTCATCGTTAGGGACAACATTGAGTTCAGTAGTAGCTGACACCTCATGCTCTCCTGATCGTGCGCGGCATTCATATTTACCAACATCACTGAAGTAGTTTTAATCAAATACAAAGTTATGATTTTTATTGTTTTAACCGGAGTGTTTCCATCATTAAAGGGTCCTAGAAGACCTCTAAACTAATGTGATGGCTGTGACAACAGTAATTGATAGGAGGGTAAAACTTATGTTGAGGATCAAACCCGACTTCAGGAACTGAACTTGAAGTCCACAATAAAAACTTTTAAATTGAAGTTGGACTCCTTAATTGGTAAACAGATGTCCATTCCTGGAATTAATGAGGCATAAAACATATAACGTCGAGTTGTTGGGATAGTTGCAATGTGATCGAATATATAACTAACTACCTTTGTGAGAGGCAGGGTATGATGAGCCTGGCCACCGACTCCCCCATACTGGAGATCTCCTCCTCCACCCTCCAGTCAAGGTGGGACACGAACATGCTGTCCTTGTACCACGCTATGTGGGGGGCTGGGGACCCTGTGGCTGAGCAGTAAAGAATCACTTCCCCGCCCTCCCGGCCATCAACACGTGCTGGAGGGATGCTCTTCAGACGAACATGTGACCAATGAGATTGTACTACCAGAGCTCCTGTTTAAAAAAAGATTATGTTGAGAACTTAAAATCTTGGAATCTCCTTCTTATGAATAGCTCTGGGTTGATTGCTCTTATAAATCCCATGGTGAACATACCCTGCAGGGATAACTCTAAAGGCATAAAGCATTGTTTCTTAAATTTAAAAGAGCCCAAATTGAATACCCATATCAATCGTTGTAGAGTGTCTAAATTGAATATCCAGATCAAGTATTCAAGATCAATGATACTCTACACAGAAGTTCTGAGTTCAGATGTCTTTGACACAATTTGTATCAAAAATTATTTTCAGAAAAATAAAAAGAAAGAAAAATGTGTTATTTACCTGCGGAAGTTCCAAGGAGAAGAGAGAACAGAAATAATGAAACCATTTTAAAATTCACAAAAGTTCTTTCAAGCGATTTAATTAACTTGACACTGAGAGTGAGAGTTTGGTATTTAGATCGAAAGCCAAAAGATTGAGATTAGAAATGTAGAAGTTAGTCCACACAGACAAAGTCAATCCTGAAAAATATTAAATTAAAAAGATGAATATTTTTTTAAATATATGTTACACTCAATACATTGAAGTGTCAATTCAATTGCCAATTTGACCAGTGAAAACGGTGTAGGGAGTTTAAGAAGTATAAGAGGAATTTTAATTTGACTTGATATGAATTTAAGAATGGAATTTTTCCTGGAATAATCGGAGGTCTCGGAGGCAACATAATCGTTTTAATTGAAATAGAACGAAAATAGAACAAATATCTTTAAGGGAAAGAAACAACCCAAACAATGATATCAATTTAAAAAACTTTTAAAGATTATTTTATTATTTGTTTTAAATCATAAACATTAAAAATATTCAATATTGAAATATTAAGCATAATAAGAAAAAGATGAAAAAATAATTAAAATATTAAAATTTAATATTTGGCAAACATTTTTGCTTCTGCAGAGTTATAGCTTTTAATAATTAACTTTAAAATAGAGAAACGGACTTGATCTATTTGTGACATATAATTATAGGTTTAAATTATAGGAATCTTTAAACGGAGGAAGGGAGGGTTTCCTCAAGTAATTTTTATCATAATTTATCTTTAGCAGCTTACCTTTATTATATCTGGATATGGTTGATTGATTGATTGATTAATCACCACCTCCTCCCGAGTTTAATATATCAGGTAGAGCAAATACACTGGATGCAGGAGCACTGGGGTTAACACAGGTAGTAGCTGGGCTGGTCTTGTATACTTCTATCTTCATGGTTACCTGGTGAATGAGAGTTCAGAGTATTTATGTAGAAAAAGAAAGCTTTAAATGTCCACAGACCTGTTAATCCTAGACCCTAAACCAGGGGAAAAATTTAATAAAAATATATATATATATTTCTCAATTGTAGGAATATGTCTCTTGATTATTAAAATTCAGATTTTGGTTTAAAAATGTGTAGGGTAGGTTTACCCCTGATCTATGTTCCTGAATGATGATGAAATGTAAGGCTTGTGTTTCTAGTGTGCCGACCCTCTGATAGATAGATAGATAGGTGTATATAAGGATAGATAAATAGATAGATATCTGATGAAATACTGACTAGAATTTCTTGTTTTTATGTATTAGCATGCAAACTGCATGTTCAGCACCAAAAAAAGCCTTTACACGTGAGTCACGTGACAGGAACATTCTGAAACCATGGACTGGAATCAGGTAGCACGCTAAACTAAAGTGAATTTCACGTAAGATGGAAATAACATAATATTAAAATAGTATTGAGAAGAACAAACCTGTTTTTAATTTCTTAAATATATATACCCGGATAAAACTTATCTCATACATAAATTCAAAGTGAAAAGGACTTGTTAGGTCACAGAGTTGTATTAGTATATGTGTCCCATAAATTTGACCTCCTAGTTTGCAGTTGATAGGAGGTAATTTGACCTCCTAGTTTGCAGTTGATAGGAGGTAATTTGACCTCCTAGTTTGCAGTTGATAGGAGGTAATTGTAACACAAAAATGACTGAACACAAATAAAGACTTGTATTAATAAAATATCAAAGTTAAAATTTAAAATCAAAAGGAAACATACAGAAAAATACTTATTAATACTAAGGCCGAATTTAAAGAATTTTAAACCACGCCCAGGAACCGCCAAAAATCTGTGTCGATTGAGCACCGGCTCATATCTCAAAACACTGGATACAATAACAAGTGGAACCAACCATGTTTGAGCCTCACCTCAAATTTGCGACGCGGCTCAAATTCTTTAAATTTGGCCTTTGGTTAAAAATCAGTTTCACAGTTTTCTAACATCCAAAACATGAAATAACAGAGAATTCTTAAGCCTATAAAAAGTCGGTATTAAGGGGGGGGGGTTCAACTATTTATTCCCCCTCCCTACCTTAATTTGTTCTATGAAAAAATCGTTTGTTAAAGAATGCCTGACCTATATTTAGCTAAAGTAGCCTACTTAGAGAAAAAACAGGTGCAGGCTCAGTAGGGGGGGGGGGTTTAGTCTACTTGCCCCCCCATGAAGTCCTATAGGGGGGCGCCCCTCTTTTCCTGGCAAAGGTTAAACCAGGTGGGAATTGTATTTCTGAATTTTTACTTAATAGAAGATTTATACTAAAAATTATACAAAAAAAAAGTTTTATTTTTCGCTCTTTTTTCTCTAAAGATAAAAACTAAGTTTAAAAAAGAACTTGGACAACAGCTTTTACAGAAATGTGTGAACCTTCATGGTATTTTTGTCATGCCATTTGAAGGTCCAAAAATCTTAAAACCACTATAGCCATATAGAAGAAGTTTTAAAAAGATTAATGGATTTTTTTGTTTTTTTTATAAGAAAAGAGATGGCTGACAAAAATCGTTTCTAACTTGGACACATTTTTTAAAAATCTAATACCAAAAACCTTTCATGTCATGTGAAAATGGCGAGGCAAATTTCCGTTAATGAACGAATTTGTTGGAAAATTAACGGACTTTTTTGTTGATTATTCGTTTCATTAATTTAACTGAAAGTTAGCTAACGGAAACATTGTCTATATAGATACTTGGCTTTAAAGGCATTTCGCCCCGATCTTCTATTTAAAACTTTATTTGTGGCTCTATCCATGTGAGCATCTTCTCTTTGTACAATATAAAACAAAAACGAAAAAGTTCAGAGATCTAATAATATTTTTTTTGTGAATTTTTTAAAATTTTATAAAAATTAAAAAATTGTGTAAACAGCTTTTATAAATTCTGAGCATCCATTAACCTTCCCTGAGGTCATTTGAGTTCAAACACAAAATGTTTAATGGATACAAACTTTTATTTCTAAATTGAAACTGTCGCAGAATACAAAATTTAAAAGTTTTTATTAAAAGTATCTGAAACCTGAAACCGCACTGAAAGGTTTTCATTTAATTCCTAAAGAAATTGGAAAGTGTCTTTGAAAAGCTCAATATCCACCTTGAATACATTCAAAGTATTTATTCACTTTGGAATACATTGCGAGCATTGGAGATATTTTAGGGTTTCATTGATAGTTTATAAAAACATTTTAGATATATATTTTCCTGAAGACTAAATTGAGTTCCTGGATTTTATAAATTAGATACAGTTAAAACAGAAAAATTCTAATTTGATTATTCTCCTTGTCGGATCGTCTGCGTTTCTCTCCTTATTCCTGTAATTCTTCTTCTTCTGCTGACTGTCCGTGATTCTGATAAATTTGAAAAAACTATTTTTGTCGAAACCAGTATTATTGGACAATCACGATGTATTATTTGTTGTGTTCTGTTTTGGCTGACTCGTTTTATACAAACAAATAAATGAAACAATTTGCATTGAAAAAATCAAATTTCTGAATTTTGAAAAAAAAAATCAAATATATTTTCTTTTTTCCAAATGTAAATCTCAGTAAAAGAGGTTTAAACATAAAGAAAGGGATTAAGGACTGTAGGAGAATTTTAAGAAAACACTCTTTATCTATAAATTGTAAGCATTCTCTTTAAGATGGCTGAATATTATTATAAGTCCGGGATCCTTTGTATGTTGAGAACCCGGATACATGGAGGTGAGTTCATCAAAATAAACTATTTTTTATTTTTTTATTTAAATATTTTTTTCTTTAAGGATGTATTAAATATTGTCTGGTCTAAAATCAGTTTCTTCTGGTTCGAAAAGTATTAAAATAAATTTATGGTTAAGGCTGTTATGCAGATTTTCAATTTACAGATCAATTATTGCAGTTGGGGCTGAGACGTACAGTAGGAGACGGTCATGTTATTCCTTCATGTTTGAACTATTTGAAGAGATCCTTAATCATTTAAAGATGAATTTAGTAGGTTTAGATTAAAATAATAATTTTATTAATCCAAATAATTTTCCCTGTTTATAAATATTTGAAGATCCATCCATATTGAAAGAAAAAGCATAACATTTGTTACGAACATTTCGTCCGTAGATTTTAGACATATAATAATGCCCTTAAAAGTTCTTGATATTTTCGAAAAGTAAGTTATCGTAATTTCTACATGCTTTTGGTAGTTCCAGGTTACGAACAAGACTGTTTTTTACATAACAGTTAACTAGGTACAAGCACAAGTTTTTTAAAAAATCTAAAACGTTGTCAATTTTTGTTGTAAAAACACCAGGCTCGAATATATTTAGAAGACGACATTCTAAAAGTCTATTGAAGCCTAGAGGATACATATCTGTACAATTAAGATACATTAGTACCCCTTGCAATACAAATTCGTGTCATTTTATAATGTAACTGTTTACAAAATTCTATTTTGTTTACTATTACCATCAGTATAGTTGTACTATGATTTAACATGCAATTAGTTTCTTGTTGTTCTTTGTGCTTATAATACAACACTCTTAAGGCGCTTCGCGCCCATCTTTTATTCCGATTGTGAACATGTTCTTTATGTGTGCATTCTAAAACAAAACAAAAAAGTTCGCGGATTTCAACAAAAAATATTGTGGACTGTCAACATTTTCAAAAATTTTATGAAAATCGAATATTGATGGAGGCAAATTTTTTAAATTAATTATTTAAAGATAAACCTTCCGAAGATTTTTGAGAAATAAATGTAACGCTTATAGCGTACAATTAAATTTTCTGGAAATTTGAACACCATTTTAGAGATAAAAACATTGAGTTTTCACTTCTCAACTTTCGATTATCAATCAAGGAATAAAGGGTGGCATTGTAAATCTGACATTCCCCTCTTAGCACTGAAATTCACTCAAAGTTGGTCTTACATTTTCTTTAAATCACAGTTTTAGAGAAAATTCCTCTCTTTAACCAGTTTAGGAAAGGCAAAAGAAATATTTGACACTATTAAGTGAAATTATTCTCTCAAAAGAAAATTTTAGTCTAAATAATGAAAATATTAATCTAAAATGTACTTTATTTTAGATTAAATATAATATTTTTCTAGATGATTATTTTAGAGAGCTTTTAATTCTCACACTTGGATTAAAACTAGCTGAGTAAAGAGTGCGACTATACTCCGCATCAAATAGATTCTAGTACAATAGATGGCAACGTAGAATTTGTACACTCTCTCAGTACAGTTGTATTCTGTCGTCACAAGTGTCAATTCAGTTTTTGTGTCCGACAAAATCATCAATAATAGTGATAATTTTAGAATAAAGTGCTTTCTTACAATAAAATAAGTGCAATTTTATGTGTTCTGTTTTTACACTTTTTTATTTAATCTTGGAAAACATGTCAACTAATGTGAGAAAATTTCGCTTTCCTTGTTATATTTGACACTTGTGACGTCGTGTATAATTGGTTAATTTCTCTGTTGCCACCTATTGTACTTGATAGTATATTTGCTCCGCATAGAAATATTCTGAAATTGGAACTTTTTGAATATTCTTGTCGGGATTAAGCTTTGATCTTCATCTTTTTGAATATGCCTGTCGGGATTAAGCTTTGATCTTCATCTTTTGGGATTTATTTGATTTCTCTTTGATATCCCACGGTGGCCATTTGCTCTTTCTGTCTAATATTGATGGCGGGGGGGGGGGATGTTTTCCACCCCCTTCCCTTTGATTTTGCCCTTAGAGTTAAGAGATAGGGTAGTGTGATACATGTCCCTTGTCCAACATTTCAAGGTCTAACTTTAATGGTTAGGGTGTAAGGGAGGATTTTTAAAAAGTTCAAAAAGTATGTCGAACATTTTTTTCAAAAATAGTTATTCTTACTTTTGACAAATATTACCATATGACTCATGTTATTATATCCATTTTTCAATGGCTTTTCAAATATATAAATCTTCGCCCTGTAGCATAATTAATAAAAAAGTTATTAACCATTTCCGATCCGCCATTTTAACGACCTCCGCCCTACCCTTTGCATCCAAAAAAAAGTTACAAGATTTGGTTACAACTATTATGTTGAAAAAATAAAGAAATTCTAAGCGTTCTAATGTAAGCAGTTTTTAAGTTACACCGAAGAAACCACAGGGGTGGTGGAAAAGGGGGGGGGCCCTGTGATAAGGTTATGTGGAAAGGTTTAAGTGGAGGGGGGACGTCCCCCTCCCTGGAAAATTGGGGGGACGCGGGACGTTCCACCCTGGAAAAGTTTTTCAAAATATCTAGCCTTGCCAATTAATTTTAAGTTCTTAATGAAGATCTTCATAAAAATATGTAAAAATTCAAAATTTTGTAATACATTTTCTTCTTAACGCCCTTAGCTTGTCATGGTTTTGACATAAAAATTACCAAATTCCTTGCATAAAGTTCCAGGAGAGAGGGATGAATTTTTGTCCGAGGGGGGGGGGGATAAAAAAATAACCTATTTATCCCTCCTCCCCTCCCTGCAAGTTATCGGAAGTCGTCCCTGTTGAGTAATCAGTTCTTTATCAGTGCCCACATTGTATACTGAGATCAAGAGTTCAAGCACAAACATTTCCTGTGAAAAATGGTTTGTTTTCTAATTTTATTAAAACTCTTTTTTTGCAGGTGTGTGATTGATTACAGAGTTGGGTTTATTGCAGAGGTAAATTTTAATATAAGTGGTAATAAATAAAAGAAATCTAAAACCTTAAAACTGATGTGAGTAAATCTACCTAAAATAGGAAAAAATGTATTTACAAGTAAAAAATGAACAAGTAAAAATGACACTAATGAATCATGGAAAGCCGGAGCTCTCTGACGGACTCTCTGCCTTTCATTCGCCTCGTACAACGAGTTAATCTTCTGTCCTCTGATTCTTGGTGAATAATAACTTTTTGTTTCGGCTTTAGCCCAAGCTAATTCTATTTCCTTCTGCCTCATGTCAAGCCGTGTCTCATGCTTATACCTTGAATTCAAGCTTAGAAAAATAATTCCCGGTCCCGGTTCTCCACGCGCCCAAACATGCGTTCAAGGCATTCTCTTGGTTGGCATTTTTTAACTGCCGAATTTTTTACACGATGCAGATGAGATGACTTGTTATATGTCCCACTGCTATCGTTAAATATAAGTTTATTTACAAATAAGCCACTCTCCATCCTTACAATATCTTTTTTTTGTAACTTTGTTGAGCTCAGTTCTAATTTTGACAGGTAATGACGATAAACTATTAAACTTTATAAGCCTATCTAAAATGATATTTAAATATTGTCCCTAAATAAATTAAACCTACTAAAATATAAACTTTAAAGGGACAGACAACATAATTATTAAGGTAATCAGCGATTTATAGAGTTACTTGTTCGATTCACATTGGTACCCTTTGAATTTGCATATGAATAAAAATGATGAGAATAGGATACATTGGTATATCTCCTAGTTTAATTAAAAATATACCGTTCACTCGAAATTACGTTTTCAGTTCGTTTCAATGTTCTTTTAGAGTTATAAAAACTAATCGAGAAATAATTAAAGCTTGTTTTTAGTATTTCGTATATTAACATTTGTTTACAACATTTTGTAATGTATTAAGCCAAGTTTCAAAAGTTTGAGTGCTTTGAATGGGAATTTGTTTTCATTGAAATTTAATTGGTTTTACAATTTTGATTGTGGATTTTGAAAGTATATAGTTTAGGAAAAAACATCATACTATGTGATTATTTATAAAAATATATAAATTCTAAATTTGGTAACACATTTTCTTTCTTACATAAAAATGACTAACAATTTTAAGAAGGAAAGATGGGAAAGGGGGGTGTTTTTTCAAAACTTGCAAATTCTTATTAAAAAATCCTACGTAAAATTTCTTCTCATATCTCATGCAATGATTATTAAATAAATTTGGGGAAAATATCGAACAAAGAATGCGTGATTCCTGAGATGTTTCTTATTTTTTCCTTTTTTCCCAAAAATAATTGGTTACAAAACTATTTTTCATTTTTTGTCACAATTTGTCACATTTATATAAATCCAAAGCAAACTAGAAGTTTGAAAATTTTGCTCAAAACATTGCTTTTTCAGTTTGTTTACTCACCCTGTATACATACATATATGTGCATATAGTGCGTGAGCTGAGGGGAACCTTCATATTTCTCATAGATATTACTAAGTTTCTTCCCTGCCACCTTTATGTATTTTATTGACAGAATAATTACACTCGTATGATTTGATTCTCTGACTCTCCCGCTTTCCCTACGAGATCTATTAAGTAATTATTTAGCTTTCATTTAAGATCTAACATTTATAGTACTTGGGAATTAGGGCGCTTCGCGCCTATCATGTAACTCAACTATTAATTGCTTAATCTTTCAGCATTGTCTCATCGATAAGATAATAAGCATAGTATTTTGTAACCAATTGTTACTTAATATAGTAATCAAAGGTTAAAGACGATATTTAAATCGTCTCTTTTTAGTGGGTCCCCCTGTATTAAACATATATAATGTTTATCTAGGAAAAGGGGAAGGAGCCGTGTTCCATGTAAACATTCTCTTAAATGTTACTGGAAACAATAACATAGGTAAACATATGAACAAATAAATAGCAATCTTACATCGAAAAGTGATTAAAAATTATTATTGACGTTATTCCTTTTGAACGACTACAGCTGCCCTGCTACTGTTAAAATAATCAAATTTCAAAGAAAAAATTATGAATACTCATGCATTCCAAAAGGGTACCATTGTGAATCTTACATGACTCTCTATAAACAGTCTACGCGTGTTCCTTTAATTTTTAAATAAAAAATATTATTTTAAGAAATCCCCCTAAGTACTGTAATATACAGATTAACCTTAGAGAGTGGAGTATGTGGCCTACAACAATTAGTAAAGGATTAGCGCTCTATGTATATGGTAACCTAGGACACCCTGAATAATATGGTAACCTGGGACGCCTTGAATAATATGGTAGCCTGGGACACCTTGAAAAATATGGTAACCTGGGAGACCTTGAATAATATGGTAACCTGGGACACCCTGAATAATATGGAAACCTGGGGCACCTTGAATAATATGGTAACCTAGGACACCTTGAATAATATGGAAACCTAGGACACCTTGAATAATATGGTAACCTGGGACACCTTAAATAATATGTTAACCTGGGACACCTTGAATAATATGGAAACCTGGGGCACCCTGAATTATATGGAAACTTGGGACACCCTGAATAATATGGAAACCTGGAACACCCTGAATAATATGGAAACTTGGGACACTTGAAGACAATGGAAACCTGGGGCACCTTGAATAATATGGTAACCCGGGACACCTTGAATAATATGGTAACCCGGGACACCTTGAATACAATAGAAACCTGGGGCACCTTGAATGATATGGTAACCTGGGACACCATGAATACAATAGAAACCTGGGACACCTTGAATACAATGGAAACCTGGGACACCCTGAATAATGTGGTGACGTGGGACACCTTGAATAATATGGAAAATTGGGACACCCTGAATTATATAGAAACCTAGGACACTTTGATTAGCTTGGAAACCTGGGACATCTTGAATACAGCGGAAACCTGGGACACCTTGCATAATAGGGAAACCTGGGATACCCTGAATAAAATGGAAACTTGGGACACCTTGAATAAAATGTAAGCCTGGGACCCTTGAATAAGATGTAAACCTGGGACACCTTGAATAATATGGAAACCTGGGAAACCTTGAATAAGATGTACACCTGGGAGACACCTTGAATAATATGAAAACCTTGGACACCCTGAAAACTATGGAAACCTGGGACACCTTGAATAAGATGTAAACCTGGGACACCTTGAATAATATGAGAACCTGGGACACCTTGAATAAAATGTAAGCCTGGGACCCTTAAATAAGATGTAAACTTGGGACACCTTGAATAATATGGAAACCTGGGACACCTTGAATAATATGTAAGCCTGGGACCCTTGAATAATATGTAAACCTGGGACACCTTGAATAATATGTAAACCTGGGACACCTTGAATAATATGTAAACCTGGGACACCTTGAATAATATGGAAACCTGGGACACCTTGAATAAAATGTAAGCCTGGGACACCTTGAATAATATGGAAACCTGGGACCCTTGAATAAGATGTAAACTTGGGACACCTTGAATAAAATGTAAGCCTGGGACTCTTGAATAATATGTAAACCTGGGACACCCTGAAAACTATGGAATTTGGGACACATTTTTCATTTCTAAAAACTGCAATATTTTAGAGTATCTAGCAGCCTGGAATAGGGAGTTGTTTTTTCTTTACTCTACAGCTGAATTTAGGTAATACCTAGGCTAGGGGAATTTAATCCACTTTCCCATCCCACCCGCAGCCCCTATCCCTTCAGAAAAAAATTATATTTATAAAGATGATAATTGTGCCTTTAGAGTAAAAGTGTCCCAATAAACATGGGATATAAGCATAGAGAATAGAATATATATTAGAGTGGAATTTAGAGAATTAAGAGACGAATTCGAGATTGTTTTTGTTAAGAGTTAGCTTTGTTAATACCTAATATCACTGGTCAAAATAAAGTTACGTCTGCTAAAGTGTACTGTATGTAAACAACAAAAGACTGTTTTGTTATTTGGCAAAACGTTGTTATGATGTTCTGTAACATTTCTGCAAGATAACCAGTGAAGAGGATTGAGCAACATTTACACGAGAATTTATTATTTTACAAGAACTAGTATGCAATCAAGACATAACAAACAAATTCTTAACTCTAGCAGACGAAATTTCCTAGTAGGTATCAACATACTAGATCAAAAAAATCATTTTCAAAGTCGATATTAAAATCATCACTGAGTTCCTTGGTTATTGCAGCTGTCGGACACCTGTACTTTAAGAAAAAATAATATTATTAAGTAAATAAACAAAAAAGTTTATTTTAGTCCTCAGCTAATCCTTGTGATGCTGCTGTGTATGATGTCCTGAGGGTATTTTTAAACATTTTAAAAAACTTACTCATTTAAAACTATTTAAAACTATTTTTCAATTTTAGCTTTATTTGTTTATAATTTTTTTTTCAGGATCAGATCTAAAGTTTACATCTAAAAAAATATTTCAAATTTAGACTTTAATTCTTTTTTTTTACTATAAATAGTAATAATATCATAAATATTATTTGAGCTAGAAAGCTCAAAAGGAACTGAATTTTTGTCACAAACTCTACTTTTCTAATCTCTATATCTTTGCTACCCAATGTCGTAGATCTTTTATTTTTCAAACTCTGAATTCTGTTAGACCAAATAATCTAAGTTTGAAATATCAAAGGTTTACATAATCAGATTGTAAAGATATAGGGATTAGACAATTTGAGTTTGTGACAAAAACTCAGTTCCTCTCTGGCTTTTCCAATTAACACATGCCCTTCACTAAGGTTAAAAGCTATATTTTTATACCTACTGCCTGAATGCCTTTTTTTATCTATGCCATGGACTAAATGTATATTTGGACCTTCTTGTGTAATCATTAGATTTTTCAACATGTTTTAGCTTTATGGAAAGCTTATGCCAAAATGAAGCAGATTGCACAATTTTAGCAAAGAAGTTTTTCACAGGCGCCTGTACAGGGAGTTTTCACATTTTCAATTTACAAATTAAAGTTTTAAAATTGTCTAAATATTTTGACCTATTTAAATTCGCAGGGTTAAGGGCTTTTTAAAAAAGTATAATTCGTTTGGGAGTAAATGACATTTCTTTGTAGAGAACTGGTTGGTTTTAACGTAAAAGAAAATGATGGTTTAGTTGAGCAGAATGTGACCACAGCTGTTTGGTGCATTTTACCAGATCACTGATAGGGTTTCCACAAGTATAAACTTGCAGCATTCCTAGAAGGGAAATCATAATATTTCAATTAAAGAATTATAACCTCGAAAAAGTTATGAAATTAAAATTACCCCTTATCTTTGCATGTATAGCTGTTGTCAGATAAAAGCCTAAAAGAGACTTTCCAAGTGCGCCAAACGCCCCTCCCCCCCCGGCTATACATAAATTTAGACCCCCCCCACCCCAGCCTTTATAGCGTTAAACTGCATTAATACAACTAATGACAATGAAGGAAAGGAATTGTTATTTTATACCTAATAAAGTGGAATTTTCTTCAAAGAAATTCAAAAAGAAAAAAAAAATTAATCAAAATAATAGTAATTTAAAACACTGTTATTTTGGTTCGCAGTGAAATTTTCTCTTTATCGAGAAAATTATTCACTTTAGTTTCACTTTCGTGCATGTGCAGATCTATGTCTTGTACAATAATCAGCCTTTAGACCCGTGCTTAGGATACATTTGATTTTGATGCAGATCCGGATCCGGATTCAGATCCTGGATCCACACTGGAAAAAAAATGGATCCGGATCTATTTTATAAAATTTACTGAATATTAATAACAAAGCAGAATTTTCAAATTTTAGTCTTATTTTTTTCGCTTATTTTTATGCTAACACTTGATGAGCCATTCAGAAATCAGGAAATTTTTATAATCTCTCTTTTTTCAATAGTTCAGATTTCGGGTTTGAGAGTTAGATTTTTTTTCTTGCAGTTTTTTGTAGATAATTTTCCCTTTGGATCCTAACATTGTTTTTATAATTATTTTTTTAGTTTTTAATGTATCCCTCATTTATGGTTGTTTAATTGAAATGGTTTTGTACTTTATGAGAAGTGACAAAAATTTCTGTTTTTAATTTTAGAAATAATATGAAATACTTTAGGAATCCATTATTCAGACATTTTCAAACTATTATAAGCTAGTTATTTACGTGGTACTTGTTTACTTGATTTTCATAAACTTTATATTCTTGCAATGTCCCGGG